TGAACATCCTTAATGACGTTACTGTACAACATTATATATAAAGTGATCTGTAAACTTCCAAGTATAGACCAATTTGGCAAAGACATATAACACTGCAAGAAAGATAAAGGTGTAAAAAATAGCAAAATGCAGTTTAAAAATAGATAAGTAAACCATGCATTGGAAATAAACAGTAGACCTACCAACTGTGATTCATCTCTGAGGCGTTTCCTCTGGGCAAGTCTGCTGTTTTACTCAAGTTAATATTTTAAATTGGAGGAGAAAAGAAAATCTGTTGGACTTAGATTTTGTTTTTGTTAAGAAATGTAAGAAACTGGTATTTGAAAATAAATCTTATTTGAATGGAAGCTCCATGGAAATTGGAGTTTTACCAATTGTAAACATTTTCCCCTAGCATCCTACCTCTTAAGCCTTAAACATTCAAGTCTTTCAATGATATTAAAAGATATTTTATTGATTTTTTCAAAGTAGAATAAGAAATAAACTTTCTTTCTTTTAGATTTTATCTATTTAGTTTTAAAGAGAGGGGAAGGGAAGGAGAAAGAGAGGGAGAGAAACATCAATGTGTGGTTGCCTCTCAAGCATCCTCCACTGGGGATCTGGACCACAACCCAGGCATGTGCCCTGACTGGGAATCGGACCAGCAACCGTTTGGTTCACAGGCCTGTGCTCAATTTACTGAGCTACATCAGCCAGGGCAAGAAATAAACTTTCAATAAATAAAAATTCTACATAGGCCCTGGCTGCTGTAGCTCAGTGGATTGAGTGCAGGCCTGTGAACCAGAGGATCAGTTTGATTCCCAGTCAGGGCACATGCCTGGGTTGCAGGCCAGTTCCCAGCAGGGGACCCACGAGAGGCAACCATACATTGATATTTATCTCCTTCTCTCCTTCCCTTCACCTCTAAAGATACATAAATAAAATCTTTAAAAAAATTCTACATAGCAATTTGAATTATGAAGGACAAAACCAGAAAAATGGTACTCTGTAGAATTTGAAGAGAAATACCAAAATGCAAATAAATGCTTATATATGCTTCATTCCTAAGGATCACGTCCTCAAAATCCTTAAGAATTAGTCAGCATTCAATAGAAGATGTAGCATGAAAAAGGAACATGTTAAAGAAAAAATAAGAAGGACTTTGGTATCAGACAAAAATAGATTCAAATTATAATTTTCATACTAGATGAATGACTTTAGGCAAGTTACTTAAGATTTTATATATAAAATGGGGATAATGAAACCTGCTTTGTGAGATTTCAGTGAATTGACATACGTAAAGTATCCAGTTCAGTATCCACAGTTAAAGATTTTTGCATATTTTCTTTCCCTTTCTCCCCTTTTAAGTGACATAAAATAAAAATTGCAATAAAACCCTATCATACTGCTGTCCACACAAGTTCTCTCCAAAATGTAATAAACTTTTAATGCCAAAAACTTATCACTTTTTTAAAAATAAGCCAGTTGTTTTGCATTAAAATAACCATATTTAACTGACAGAATTATACCATATTATATAGCAAAAGAATAAACTAAGGTTATAGTCAATACTTGATTGCAGTGACCATTTTAAACACTCCATATTAAAGCAAATCTATACTGACAAACTAAAATATTAAGAATTTTTGGTGAACATCATGGCTATGGAACTTTACTTAAGTTCTAAGTTCTTCAAAAGCAAACAAATATAAAAAATAGACAAAACATATTCTTAACCTCGTATGAAGAGAGCATAAAGATAGATTAATTCTGTTCTAGAACTTAAAATAAAACATGTCCTGGATAGTGTGGCTGAGTGCACTGAGCATTGGCTTGTGAACCAAAGGGTCGCCAGTTCAATTCTCATTCAGGGCACATTCCTGCATTGCAGGCCAGGTCCCCATTATGGGGTATGTGAAAGGCAACCACACATTGATGTTTCTCTCCCTTTCTTTCTTTCTCCCTTCCCCTCTGTCTAAAATAAATAAATACAATCTTTAAAAACAACAAAAAATTAACTAAATTCATCTAGAGAAGGGTAAGGGACAAATTATGATTCTGCAAGTCATTAACTAGCTAGTTTTATTAGTGTTTATCCTTTGAGTTTACATAAAGGGAATTAAATTGTATATATGCCTTTTATATAGCTGTTGTGAACAAAGTCAATGAATTATAGAATATTAGTGCTTAGAAGAGAACTTCAAATTCTGTAGATCTTATATCCTTAATCTAAAAAAATAAAAATAAAAACAAAGGTTAAGTTCAAGGTTACCCAGGGCTTGAGGCAGAGATGAAACTCAACCCTTTATCAACTCACTGCTCTTTATATTACTTAAATACATCCCTGCAGGATGTTTTTCAGCAGGAATTCATACTAATGGTTATGGGGAACACTGCTTTTTTGGCTTTTATAACATCGATGAATGTGTTATGTTTACTGTGTAGTTTGTAGGACACAATGAAACAGGATGGCATGTGGAGTATTGTCTTGTTCATTTGCTGCTACCTAAAAACATTTTTTTCATTGAAAGGATTACAAATTTAGGTTAAATACATACTAAAAATTGGTACTGGAACATACTAACAATTGCTAATGAAAGTCTGAGCTGTGTGTCAGGAAAACGAACAGCCTGAACATCTCACCTGGCACAGTTATAGATAAAATTGTACTACATTTAAATTGATCTTGAGACCCTCTGAAATGTATATTGGCCAAAGAGCAGTTAAGAAAATTGTACAAGTCATGGCAAGAGGAGGAAACCAAGTCAAGCTCCCAAATATAGAAGTAGCACTCATCATTTGCCTCTGATCTGTTCTATTACCTCTAAAACATTAAGAATCTATGAAAAGGGGAAGTTAATATGATTCAAAAATCTCCTGAATAACAAAGCATCTCACAGAAAAATTTCTTCAAAGAGGAGTTCCCACTTACCTTTAACTTACAACGAATTCATATATTCTAGAATTCATGTTTAAGTAAAAACACTAAACTGATGCTGGTAAAGTCCCACACTTTCAGTTCTTACCCTAATTATTCTCAAAGCAGCATTTGACCCTACTGATCACTTCCTTTTTCCCCCTAAAACTCTTTGCTGACATCTTAAATGTCCCTTTATACACATACACACATAGAAATTATGTGAGGTGATGAATGTTTTAACTAATCTTATTGTGGTAATCATTTTGCAAATCAAATGTGTATCAAAATATTACATTGAACACCTTAAACCTACACAATGTTATCTGTGAATTTTATCTAAATAAAATTGAAAAACTAAATAAACACTGAAATCTTATATATAAACAAAATAAATGAACAAAGGAACAAACAGAAACCCTTTTACTGCCTTTGCTTCCCTGAAACCACTCTCAACTGGTTCTCTCCTGCCTCTCTAGTTATGTCTTGTTATTTTCTTCCATACCTGAACTTCTAATCATCCTTCAGTTGTGGGTGTCCAGAGAGCTCATTCCTCATCTTAGCTCTCTTAATTCACTAAAAAACATTTATTGAGCACCCACTATAGGAACTCTTCTGAATAACTGAGATATCACTGAACGAAACAGATGAAAATCCCTACTGTGTTCAAGTATACATAACATAAAGAATAGTCAGACAAAAACATTAAAAATAATACATAAGTAAATTATGTAGTGTGTTAAAAGGATTTAAGTGTTGCAGAAAATAAATAATATAGAGTAAGAAGAATCTATAACTCTCCTTAGACCACCAAATTGATATAACTATGACTTTAACAATTACCTATATTTTAACTATCCCCAAATTTCTATCAACCATATATCTATTATGAGCAGCAATACTATAAAGATTTTCTCCCTTTAATATTCTCCAGCCATCACAATTTATAATGCCTGACACTCAACTCAATACTTGTCTTCCACCATAACCTGTTTCTCTTATCTTGATAGTAGCACTACCATCCACTGGTTCAGCCAAGTCAGATACCTTTTATTTAATATCTCCTTTTTGGTCTCTAGATCTTACTTGTCAACAACTCTTATTTATCTATACAAATATCTCCAATATTCTTCCATCCTCACTGTGGCTTCTCTAATTAATTACAAATCTCAATAAATAGCAGTGGAGAGGATCAATTCTACCTATAGTCAGATGTCTGGATTTAATCCTGGCTCCACCACTTACTTGCCATTTGGTTTTGAACTTAACCTCTGTAAGTGCTAGTTTTCCTGCCCTTAAAAAAAGACAACCCTTCTGTGGTTATTTTATTGAGTGTGGCTGGAGGTATTAACATCAGAATCACCAACAGTAGCAGCAGCATGAATCGTTTCTAAAACACTCTCTTATGTGGTTTTCCTTTTTCTAACCTTACTCTTCTCAAATCTTTCCCAGCACTGCAGACCAAGTGATATTCAAAATTCACAGATCTGAACACGATGACCCTAAATAGTTCTCCATTGCCTTCAGCATTAAGTCCAAATTCCTTAGCATGACAAAGAATTTTTTCTTTTTTTTCCATCTTCATCTTTCCTTTTAAAAACTTAAACTATTAAAAGCATTATTATACAAAAGTTAGCTTGGAGCTGAAGTTTTCTGTGAAAGATCTTCAGAATATAAAGTTCAGCTTTCTTTTTTCAATTTCCAAAAAGTCTCAGTTGAGGATTTTTAAGTTATCACAAGGTTGTCTTTTTTGCCAACAAGTATGTATTTCATTTTTATGGTCAAAATACTAAGTGGCATTTGATTTAATTTTTCACTGTGATGTGATATAACACAAAATAAGCATTTTGAGAACCTTTGCCTTCTATTGGAAGGCAAACAAATGATTTAAATTATTTCTTCAGGTTTTTGTCACATTTCATCTTCCTATGAAACAAACATAAAATACCCACTGATTGACTTCATGGATTGCTATGTGTGTGTTTGCATGTATTTTTGTATGTGTCTCTACCTGTCCAATCCTTTTACAAGAAAACATGAAATAATGTCATATTAAAAGTAGTATTCAAGAAGAATTACTTATAAAACATTGGCAAGATTTTACCTGTCCAACCAGGCAAGAAGACTCTTAGCTGCTCCAATCAGATCCACAACTGAAGTCAGAAAATCATTTGGCAATTTTCGACTGGTTCTCCCATCATAATGGCCACTCCTTCTCCTCCCTGTTATAAAATTTTGTAGATTTTTGGCAGATGCATTCAACTTGTGAGAAAGGGTTTTTAGATTTTCTGTTTCCAAGCCATAATTCTGAATTGTAAAAAAGAGAGAACAATATACTTAAAGTCAATATTTCATTCATTCATTAAAATATTTACTAAGTACTTTAGTATGTATAGGCAATCGAACTAGTCTTAAAAGTCACAAATGAATTAAAGTGGGATTCCTGGCCTACCATAACCCACAGTCAAATGAGGATTTGTGAAAATGCCAGAGAAATTACAATATAGTGTGTTAAGTATTAATATGAACATGGAAAGATGAGGGCATTATATCTTGAAATTATATCACCTAAGACAGAAAGATTATAGGGATTCATAAGTTTTTTTAACCCAAACCTAAGTTCATTTATTTGTGAAATTCATTATTGTCGACAATTATTTTTAAGTATCTATTAGCATGTGCATAGTCATGACTGCAGGTACTAGGAAAAATTCTGCTTCCTCAAACAACGCAACAAAAAAAGAAGCAAGAGATAGACTGTAATATACTTTTTTCCATGTCCTCTCTATAATGACTCACAGAGTTTCTTTTATAATATGGTTCCAGGAAATATTCTGCTTCCTTAGGCAAACCAATATACTTTCTCCTTTTTATAATACAAATTATGAAATTAAATTTATTTTTATTTTAGTCCTGGTTGCATTAGCTCACAGTCAAATGTGAAATACATCTAAGGTAACCATATTGACTTTTTGGTATGTGTATTTGTTTTCTTTTTCCCTTAGTCTTGCTTTTAAATTTCTAATAATGTTTATTATTTTACCCAAAATATTTTGTCTACCATTGTTTCAGAAAGGGTTATAAGAATAAATGCAAATAAGCTTTTCTGTTATATTCATTATCAAAATATTATAGGATTCCTTCAAGCAAACTGTAGGAAAAGATTTTTTAAGTTACAATTAAATTTTAAAACAGCTAATTATAAGTTGTAAAACACCTCTAAGAAAGAATGATTAACCTGATCAAAGGATGACCTTGGTGAAACTATTTAGCAATATATACGTTACTGTACTGTAAAATTAAAAGTATTATCACTTCATAGAAAATTGTAAGACCCAAAGAATATTAAATAGCCTCTCGGGCACAAACAAATGCTAAGTGTGATTTACCCTCCTTTTATAGTTGAGGACATTGAGGCACAGAAGGTTTTCTTGTTTGCTTAAAGAGCTCAGAGCTTAGAGCTCAGTTCAGAATGGGACAAGTCACCAGGCTGCCTGGTGACAACAAAGGAAGCAAAATGGATGATAAAATATTGAGGGAGTGAAAAGGGAGGCAAATAACACATGAATTTAGCTATATTATTAAGCCAACAACCATTTGGTATCTAGTTTACATATAATTTAGGTTAATGCTTTTCTATAGTAATTTAAGAAAAAAAGAGCACGTGGAGGAGATAAAAGAAAGAACTAGAGAGGGTGTAGAAGCCTAATTATTAAATACCCTATTATGTTAATTAAGTATGTTACCATTAAAGATTTAATAGTGATAAAAGTCTAATTATTCTTGCTGAGAATTTATATTTTTTTATTAAAAGAACACTCTTTTTTTTGGAGCCACGGATTTGTTTTTTAAATCATAGTATATTAAATTTTCACTACTTAATTTAAATTGCAATATTCTTCCCTCAAGTTAAAACATTAGGCTTATGCAAATAAAACAACATTCTACTCAACTTCTGTTGCATCTGAGCATGGATTATCTGTGAAACCTTGGAGAGATTTTATTTTCTGCAGTTTGTCACTATATTAAAAAGAAAATCCTTTTATAAATTTATAAAAGATTCTAATGACTAGACAAAACAATTTGTAGTTATATCAAGTAGATGTAAATATGACCTCTGTCCATAAAAAGCCCAGCTATTATTAATATAATGAGAATGATTTGCCTGACATTGATATAACCTGGCAACCAAGAAGAGTGGACTGGAATGTGTATGCATGAACAATGACAACTTCACTGTACTAGTCAGTGGGGGTGGTAGGCATCAATGAGTGAGCATGTGACTAGACAGAACAATTTGTAGTTTTATCAATTAAATGTAGTATATCTGAAGTCTGTAAAAATATTTTCAGAATTTTTTTCTTGTGTTAAAGTATTTTCCCTGAAGTATAGCAGTGTTTGCCCTTTTCATTTTTGTGTATTAATGAATTTAATGAGGAAATGTTTTTTATTTTTTAATTTAATTATTGTTCAAGTACAGTTTTTTGTCTTTTACTCCCACCCCAGCCCACCCCCACAGTGCTCCCCACCTCCCTCCCATTTCCACCCCTGCTAGTTTTTGTCCATGTGTCCTTCACACTTGTTCCTATGAGTCCTTTCTCTTTTCGCCTGAAATTCCCTCCCCTCTCTCCTCTGGTCACTGTCAGCCTGTTCCATATGTCAGTGTTTTTGGTTATATCTTGCTTGCTTATTTGTTTTGTTGTTTAGCTTCCTGTTAAAGGTGAGATCATATGGTATTTGTCTTTGATTGCCTGGCTTATTTCACTCAGCATAATGCTTTCCAGTTCCATCCATGCTGTTGCAAAGGACAGGAGCTCCTTCTTTCTTTCTGCTGCATAGAATTCCATTGTGTATATGAACCATAATTTTTTGATCCTTTCATTTACTGACGGGCACCTAGGTTGCTTCCAGCTCTTGGCTATTGTAAATTGTGCTGCTATGAGCATTGGGATGCATAGGTTCTTTTGGATTGGTATTTTAGGGTTCTTAGGATACAGTCCCAGCACTGGAATTGCTGGGTCATAAGGCAGGTCCATTTTTAGTTTTCTTAGAAAATTCCATACTTTTTTCCATAGTGGTTGTACCAGTCTGCAATCCCGCCAACAGTGAACTAGGGTCCCCTTTTCCCCACAACCTCTCCAACATTTGTTGTTTGTTGCTTTGTTTATGATGGCCATTTTGACCACTGTAAAGTGGTATCTCATTGTGGTTTTAATTTGCATCTCTCTAGGAAATGTTTATTTATAATCAAATTATAATAATTTTTTAGAGAAGCTCAAATTATAATTGGTTATTAGAGAGGAATCTAATCATTCAACCAGGTAATTGTTTCCCCCTGTAGCCACACCCTCCATAAAAGATTAATTTTTTGATAGGTTATATATATCTATCTATGTAAGCATCTCAAATATTTTACTATAAAATATAAAATAATTTTATAGCAATAATATAGGTTTTCTTATAAATAAAAATCTAAAGGCAAACTAGAAAATACTTTGAAGCCTCTCGAACTTAAAATAATACTAAAACTATTTTTAATGTAACTCAAGAATTAGGAACTAGAAAAATCTCCTGGACAAAACCTGGAAGGGTACCCTGAGAAGGCCTCCAAACTTGGGAACCTACTGAAAAAAATATCCTATGTGGAGTATAGGTAGGAAATGAAGAAGACATGAATATGGAGGCAAGAAGAGACAAAAGATATGTAGTAGTACTTCCAGCCAAGATGGAGGCGTAGGTAGACATACGGTGCCTCCTCGCACAACCAAAATAAGGATAATAACAATTTAGAAACAAAATAACAACCAGAACTGACAGAAAATTGAACTATATGGAAGCGGGACAACCAAGGAGTTAAAACAGATACATTCATCCAGACGAGTAGGTGGGGTGGAGTCAGGCAGCTGAGGGGAGAGGGATTGTGGTACAAAAGCAACGGCACCAGGCACGCAAGGCACCCCGGCATGCAAGACGGTAGTGGGTGGACCCTGGGCACACAGGCGGCAGCTGCCAGACCCCAGGTGCAGGGTGGCAATGGGAAGACCCAGCGAGGCGGCAATTATGAAGCAAGGCACTGCATGCGAGGTGGCTGACTGACTGGGCAGTCCCACATTTGCCCACAGATAGACCAAGCGAAACTGGGGAGCGAGCCAGACCGTGCAACCCAAGGTCTCAGTGCGGGGAAATAAAGCCTCAAAACACCAATAAAGAACACCTGTGGGGATTGAGGCTCAGGGACATACTACCAGCCTCACAGGAGAGTTCATTGGAGAGAACCACAGGGTCCTAGAATGTACTCAAGTCCACCCACATGGGAATCAGCACCAAAAGGGCTCAGTTTGCTTGAGGGAAGCGGCAAAAGGAACTGAAACCTGATAAAGAGCTGAGCAAGCACTATTGTCCCCTCTTGGACCCCACCCCCACATATAGCATCACAACCCAGCGATTTGGGTTGCCCCATTCCGGTGGGCACCTAAGTCTCTGCCCCTCATACATAACAGGTGTGACAACACACACACACACACACACACACACACACACACACAAATGGCCCAAATACAACTAAAAAATGAACTGATAGCCAACCTATCAGATGCACAGTTCAAAGCTCTGGTGATCAGGATTCTCACAGAATTGGTTGACTTTGGTTGCAAATTAGATTAAAAAAATGAAGGGTATGCTAAGTGAAGTGAAGGATGAAGGAAAATGCACAGGGAACCAATAGTGATGGGAAGGAAACTGGGACTCACATCAATGGAATGGACCAGAAGGAAGAAAAAAACAACCAAACAGAAAACAATGAAGAAACAAGAATTCGAAAAGATGAGGAGAGGTTGAGGAACCTCCAGGACATCTTTAAACATTCCAACATCCAAATTATAGGGGTACCAGAAGGGGAAGAGGAAGAGCAATGAGTGGAAAACTTATTTGAACAAATAATAAAGGAGAACTTCCCCAATCTGACAAAGGCAACAGACTTCCAGGAAATCCAGGAAGCTCAGAGAGTCCCAAAGAAGTTGGACCCAAGGAGGAACACACCAAGGCACATCATCATTACATTAGCCAAGATTGAAATGAAGGAGAGAATCCTAGAAGCAGCAAGAGAGGAGAGAGTTACTGTTAGGGGCTAAGGGAAATAGTCTTAAGAAAACTAAGTTGTTTGTTCAACCTTAGCTGCTTGCTCAAGCTTGGGTGGGGGGACTGCACCCCCACCCCCGGGCAAATGTTCCAGGAAGTTAAGCAGATAGCTTCTTGGAACATCCGTTAGGGGGGGGGAAATTTTTACCCCTAGCATGAGCCCCTAGGCC